AAGAGTTGCACATCGACTAATAGATAGTTAGCTTGAACAACATACTAAGTTGCACATATCGTCGATAGGGGAGGTGGGGCAGGGTGTGCTAACAGTAGAAATCCACAAGTAGGTACGAGGGTTCCACATCTACCAATAGGTAGTTGGCCAGAATAGTAGACTAGTTGCACATAACAAAAGTTGGTGTTAGTTGCTATGTTATAGCCTCATTGGAGGTTGGATCATGTTGCTCTAAAATTGGTTTTGAAAAAAGTTGCACCATGCATTACTAAAGTTGCACCATGCAATACTAAAGGTTGCACAATATAGCCCCAAAGTTGGCATCTAAAAAATTTCGTCAAAACATATCCATGCGGGATCTAGTTTCAGAGATCTCGTCGCAAGGATTTTGACGGTGAAAATAAATTTGAATTCCGATGCGCGGTTTGAAAGATATGCCTTTTTGAATTTTTGAAACCCCGAAATAAATCCACATGGATCTGTCTGTTCCCATGCTAAGGCTGGCCATAGTGGGGGTAACATAAGTAGTATCATGCACTTGGGACTCACAAACATGCTTATGTAGTAGGCAATTAAAGAAGGGAGAAATGGTTATAGTAACATAGGTAGATACCGTAACATAATAAATGTGATGCTACTATGTATCATGCATGGCAATAAATGAAACCACTTATGATACTAATCTATGATACTATGCATTATAGAGATAGTAACATAGACTAGTAACATATGCATGTTACTAGTCTAAGTTACTCCCCACTATGACCAGCCTAAAGAAACAGTATGAATGCATTTAATTCCAGGGTCACATGCACTAAGGGACAAAGAAATTAAGGCATGCATGTGCTATGAGCCGGCCCGCTTGTTTTGTCTAAAAAATGCGCGTGCACTTTAAAGAATTTGGATAGAATTTTAGTATGTGGCTAATGATGACAGTTTTCTGGGGTTGTAAGTACGGAAATTATTCTCATAGCCAAGACATTAGAATTCCAGCTAATGACGAGATTTATGGGCTTGTGGATCGATTTTTTAAACCTACTCATTCTCAGGCTAGACCAACAACCAAACACCCTTTCTCCTATAGTACCTGACAACAAAATACCTAGAGACTAAACCCACGCAAAGCAACATTTTTTGCCCAGGTATGCAACCCTTGATAACCAAACTATCGAATTCCAATGCCGCCGCCAACTCATAAGCCGACACATGTTGATTAGTACCCGAAAATTACTCTCTAGGATTTAAAATTTTATAAGAATGTAAACACAATTCTTGTCAGAGTCATTTCTTACAACCTTTTGTAGGTTTTACCATGAGTTGGTAACATATGAGGTTTTCATGGCACTAGAAGTCTCCTTCCATTAATGCCATGAGGACACACATACAACACCACATCTGTCCACCTGAGCACCACGAGAGCACATGACCGGAGTTTGAAGGCGACACCCCTCTCTCTTTCGTACAATGCAACAAAAGCGGTTGATTCGTGGGATCCAAACAAATAATATAGCTTTTTTCAAGACAATAACATAAAAGATGGTTTCATGTATACACGGACTTGGACCATGGCATGCCTGTAATACATGTGGAGTACGTCGTGTGATTGCAAAGGATGAATTGACATCCATTGTTTTTAGCTCCTTTGTTGCTTTCTTTCTCCTTCCTTTTGAAACTTCGATGATGGCAGACCAGCATGGAAACATGTAACTCATACTGTAAAGTACAATTTTGAAGTGACGCCAGTTAAAAATACAACTCATTGCATTGTATGTTCTAGTCTACCTCTAACTAGTGGGTCGTCCTGCACTTAGATCTTGTTAGGTCTGTGTCCCTTGACGTCTTGCCTGGCCTGGAGCCTCCATGGAGGTTGCCCCAAAATTATTTGGTTGTTGTCCTAAAAAAGCCTCGGATAGCCTCACTTGAAGTATCATGTAGGTGGTTAGCCTAGATAGAGGAATCATGGAAATGATTAGCCTAGCCCATGCATTAGAATTCCAATACCTGGCTATAAAAATTACTTGACGTCTTGCTTGGGATTGTAACTATGAAAATTGCAGGCCCGATGGCCGTGACTGCAAAAGGTCGACAAGGAAAGGCCTTGGGCGAAGTTCTCCATCGTGGTGCCATCTGACTCGCAAGCATTGGTTCAAGCGGCAACGCGGACGTTGATTGGCAATGGCAGAAACACCCTATTCTGGGAGGATAGATGGATTGACGGTTTCCGGATGTGTGAGCTAGCCCCGCGGATCTACTGCTGCATCCTGAAGAGAGTGCGGCGATCTAAGCTGGTAGCGGATGCACTAATTAACAATGATTGGACCAATGACATTGGCACCGGCCTAACGCCGGAAGCTGTGGACGAGTTTCTAAATCTCTGGCCCAGGATCACGGCTGTGCAACTAGATGGCGAGGTGGAGGACACTGTGAGGTGGATGTGGGAGCAGAACGGCGTTTTCTCGGCTCGATCGGCCTATGTGGCTCGGTTTATGGGAAGAGAAGTGGCCGCAACAGCTGCATTTACTTGGCAATCTAAGGCGCCACGGCGATGCCGGTTCTTCTCTTGGCTGGCGCTAAGGAACAAATGTTGGACATCTGATAGACTTGCTAGACCTGGATTACCTCACCAAGACTCATGCCCGTTGTGCAACCAACATGAGGAAACCATGCAGCACCTGATGATGAATTGTGTCTTCGCGAGGCAGATCTGGGTGGCCATCGGACGATTAATGAAGAGGGTGAACCTCGAACCAAGGCAAAATGAACCGCTAGAGCAATGGTCTATAAGATAGGACGGGAACACAAGCAGCGGACGTGCACACAAAGCGAAATGCCTCCTTGGGATGTGGATGATATGGAAGCAAAGGAATGATGTGGTCTTCAATGGTCACGTGCCTTCGGTCCCACACACCATCCAACGCATACGAGATGAAGGTACACTTCGGGCGAAGGCGGGATTGTTCAAAGGTGACATGGAAGGATTCGAGGTGGAGCAAGGAGTGTGGGGCACAAGCGAGTAGTCCGTTGTAGAACTAGGGTAGTGCCGGATTAAATCTGCATGTAAATAAGCTTGTAACCGTGGATTTTGGGGCTCCCTCCCCCCCCCCCTCTTCTTCTTTAATGAATGATACGCACACTTGTATGTATTTGAGAAAAAAACTATGAAAATTACTCTTTGTAGATGGACCTGTCAATTGACTTGTCAAACTTAAATTCTCCCGGCCGCAAACCAAATGCCCTTCCTGCTATGTTGTCTGACAAGGCAAGAAATTACTTGGAAACCAAGTCCA